TGCCTTTTCTTCCCAGTCCCATTAAGGAGCTTTAAATTAGTGTTTATTTCTGGTTGTAGCTTCATATTAAAAGTACAGACATTACAGAATACTTCTGGCCAGGAAAGACAAAAAGCATATTTCCCAAAAGTCTAAAAACGATTTTCTATTATTCTATAACGTCTAATAGCGAGTGCTTTCATAAAGAGCTAGTTGTCATATAGAACTTAGTCAACTTCCTCCTTTCCTGTACCTAGAAATGCTAGGCTCGTCTATGTTAAAAAGCTAACTAGCTAAATAACAATTGTTGTAATTTCTTTGCTGTTATCAGCTTTTAGATGTAACTAGCTAGCTAACAATTGAGGTACAGTAGTTAGCTTGTTAGCTCTGTAGCAAAACGCGAGCAAGCTAGCTAATTATCAATTAATGTAGATTAGCTAGCTGGTTTGCCAGTGTTTTGTTAATATTAGCTGGGTAGCTAAGATGTGACTATATAAATGTCGCTTTCAAAAAACTAGATTAGCCTAGCACATAGCTTATCTAAGTACAGGAAGGGAGAAAGTTGACCGAGGTTCTGACCGAGGTTTGCTCGACTGTTATTGGAGCACAGAACAAAAAAGGGTGGGGCTTAGGAAAGGTCAACTGAAAAAGAAAAAGCAAAAATAACACTGCCAACAAATCTGGAGTTACCTGTGTATCCTACATGTTTTCCCACTTATTTTCCCTTTTCATTCTCTGTTTTTTGCCGGTGTGTAGGGACCGTCTGCGTACCACGACCAACGTTTTGGGGGATTCGATCGGAGCCGGCATCGTAGAGTTCCTGTCTCGACATGAGCTCCGCAGCAAAGATGTGGAGATGGGAAACTCAGTCCTGGAGGAGAAGGAGAGGAAGAAACCTTACAAGCTCATCTCCCAGGATAGCGACTTTGAAAACGACAAACGTGGACACAGTGAATCTAACATGTAGTTCAGCCTTCGACATCTGCTGTATTTGTTCACACATACAAACACTTACAGCTGGTTCTGTTTTGGATAGTAGGGACCTAATTGTGAGATGTTGTCAGCCATAATTTTACTGTCATTACTTCACATGTTGGATTTGTCAACATTCCTTTATTGTTGCGTGACTGTCTCTTACATTCCTATTTCATCTAAATTTACAAAGATCACATCCTGTAAAATATGCATCTGTCATTTGTTTAAAATAGGTTCATCTGTGTCATGTAGTTGAGGTGAAAGTAGGTTTTGATACATGCTTGATGAAGGATTTGAAATCTAAGGCCACTAAGCAGGGGCAGAAGTAAGCTGCTGGGTACAAACAGTCCCATATAGTCATAGGTAGTATCATGAGGAAACTGATTGCTTTTGAAGACATTATGTGATTATGAAGAAATTATATATTGAGACTTTTTACCATTTTGTCTGCAGGACATGATTATCTTAAATTCAAACTCTATCTACATTGTCCCAACATTAGTTGGTTAATATTGTGGTTATTACAGACATTTGATGATTTTAATGTTTCAGTGGTACAGACTCTTTCTTACACACCTAGGATTGCAAATGCATGCGTGTGTGCACATTCACATTTCGACTGTGTGACTTGCTGAATTTTTTTTACCAACATTGCTGATTTACTGTAGGAATGAGACGTGAATATGTTGGGTGATTAATATATGTTAAAGCCTCTGATTTGATTATGAAGCAGATATCCAAGTCTTGACTGAAATTGAAAAACTTTTGTTGAAAGCAGTTGTCTAAGTTTTTGTTTATTATAACTTTAGTGAAATAAACAGAAAAAAGCCTCTCCTGTCTGTCTCTGTTTCGTTTTAAATGTCAGGGGTTATTTCAGGGGTCAAATAATCCAACCGTGCTTCCTCAATTTTGCTCAGCTGGTACGCAGCTTTTTTTGTCTTTATCACTTAATCTTGAAAATACTAAATAACAGTCTAGTGAAATGGCTGTTTGTAGCATGCTGTATCAAATTAAACGTCCCTAAAGGAGGGTACACACTGAGAACAGGATCCCTTCTGTTTTCACTCTGTGTGGTTAATGTAAAGGTTAGACACTCCACAGAGACACTACTGATACTACAGCCCAGACTGTGGAAATGTTGATAAGAAATGTGGCGGACTTAAATATGAGAGAAAGTTAGGATGCATTTAAGGTGAAATAGCTTAGTCATGTTTGGGATTAACACCCTCGTTGTTGTGTATCTTTAACATGTTTTATCTACCATAGGGGCATCCAAGAGTGCACTTTTGCGTCTTTTTTTGAACATAGGGGCACCACTGTCATTAAAAGTCCCAAACCCAACAATGAATGCATCTACTAACAAGTATTGCGTGTGTGTGTGTGTGTGTGTGTGTATATCTTCTTCCTCTATGCTATTAAAAACACATCAATGAGCCACACTGTTAAACTGGGTTCGTTTATTACCATGAACACACACACTGTTTTGACTCATTCCTACATACACCGACCTGCTGTCCCAAATACTTATTATCCAAATGTGCATTAATTCTGCTGAAAATAGTCCCTGTTAAATGCACTTTAATTTCCTCCTGTTTGAGAAACGTGTTAAAAACTACAGTGACTAGGTGTTTTAGGAAATAATGGAGCCTTTTACAAACAAAAAAATATATATTTGGGAGATGTTGTTTTCAAGGGGGCTTGAGTCTGAGATCCACAGATCCATCTGTTCATGGCATTTGTGTACAATAAACAGAAAGATGAATCACCAGCTGTACCTTTAAAGGTCCAGTGTGTAACATTCAGGAGGTTCTATTGTCAGAAATTGAATATAATATTCATAAGAATGAAAATAAGAATAGTATTATAAAAGAATAAGAATAATAAAAGAATAAAAGGCGAAAAAAATAGTGGATTGTTGGGTCTCATTCCCAGGGTCTCAAAGCACTGTATTTGATGAGACTCAACAATCAACTATCTTCAAGCCTCCAACACAAAAAATCTATAAATCTTTCTGGGCTATGATTGTTTTTTTTTTTTCGTTCAAGCCCGGGGGATTCTTGCAAATATCATTAGGAGCAATAGAAGGAGCCAGAGGAACCAGATTTGTTCACAGATTATCTGTCTCATGTACTACTGTCAGGATATAGAGAAAGTTTCAGAAAATATGACAAAAACATGTTTTTTTATAAAAATGGCCTGCTGCAGCTTTAAGTGTAGGCCATCTTGTAAAAGTAGGGCTTTAGGAGGCACTTATAAGCTGCAGTGGAGTCAGCCAATCTCACACTGAGGGGAAGGCTGTTCCAAAGTTGAGGAGCCAGAACTGAACGTGCATGGTCCCCTTTGGTTTTCACTCTGGTTGCTGGAACAACTACAAGGTGTTTTCTGATCAGCCGATCTTGGGGGCTTGGCTGGAATATAAGGGGTTAAAAGTTATTTGATATAGTCAGAATGTATTCTATACTTACATGTACTTTACCGAGTAGTAGGAGACATTTTTGTGTCTTATGAGTTCTCATTTAGACCATCAGTTCAGGAATGTTACTTCCCATATCAATTCATATGAAACAATATTCTTTAACTGATGATCTATTAAAGGACCAGTGTGTAGAATATAATGACATCTAGTGGTGGAATTTAGGATTGCAACTAACTCAGCACCGCTTATAACTGAGTATATATGATGTAATAATAATGCAGTTTAATGTATTAGATGTATGTTAGATTGTAATGTCCATGGAATAATACAATTATACATGACTGCTTGCTTTGCTATCAGCATTAAATAGGCCTATTGCCCATCGGTAACCCTATCAGTCGACCACTATTTACACTACTCACAAAAAGTTAGGGATATTCGGCTTTCGGATGAAATTTCAGCATGTACATAAAATGCACTATAACCTTTCCAGGTGATCTTAATTTGACCTTCTACTTAAATGCCCTACTTTCATGATATAATATCACTGTAGCATCAACTTTTTACATTTTCCATAAATTTCACCCGAAAGTGGAATATCCCTAACTTTTTGTGAGTAGGGTAAGTATTCATTGAAGTATTTGGCCATATTATACATATTGTCTCTCTTTTTATAGTTGTATATATTGTCTCCTTCTATTGTCTCTATTTTTATCTTTATTTATACTTTTCTATGTTTAATTGTTATGGACCAACTTAGCAAGGCAAATTCCTTGTATGTAGATAGATAGATAGATAGATAGATAGATAGATAGATAGATAGATAGATAGATAGATAGATAGATAGATAACTTTATTAATCCCACAATGGGGAAATTCACTTGTCACAGCAACATTTGAGTGAAATAAATAGGCTACAGATATAAAGAACAGGAACATTTGCAAACAGCAGGTCCAAGGTCTTATTGTCTCTGGTGGTGCACATGACAAACTGGTGAAAGGTTGGGAGTGTGGACGAGAGAGAAACATGGTTGAAGTCCCCTGTGATGATGATGAAGGCCTCCGGGTGTTCCGTTTGTAGACGTATGTTAGCTGATTCTGATTCTGATTCGGACTACTGGAACCACAGCTGACCGGAAAAAATTAAATGTTAATAGTGAACCTGTTGAGTTTATAATGCAACAAAAAATATGAAAGAGATGCCAAGTCATAATTAGGAGAGGATCTCCAGTGTAATTACATAATAAATAAATAGATAGTTATCCTATAGCCTATAAATAGATGTAAGCAGTGTTGGCCATTGCCAATACTGTTATTACTGTGCGTCTGTCTGTCTCTCTCTCTCTCTTTCACCCCAACTGGTCGAGACAGACGACCACCCACCTAGAGCCGGAGGATCTGTCCTAGGTTTGTCTCCAAGGTCTTGCTCATGGTGGTACTGTTGGGTCTCTGGTGTCCTGAGATAACTTCTGTTATGAATTGGCGCTATACAAATAAAATTGAATTGAATTGAATTGAATTGAATTTAATTGAATTGAATTAGAGTGGAACCGAGAGATGGCGACAAAGCAGCAAATGGATTTACGCTGCTGCTGAAATCCATGAAGAAGAGTACAGAGCACACAGTGGCTGAACACACACACACACACACACACACACACACGCATACACACACACACACACACACAGTCCCGGTTCCTCCACAGTCCTTCAGCATGTCGTCCACTGAGCGCACAGACCTGGGCCGGGCGCTCTGCATCATCACCGGGGCCTCCAGAGGCTTTGGCCGGGCTGTAGCGAGGGACATGTCTCGGTTGGTGAAGCCGGGCTCGGTGCTCGTTCTGGCGGCCCGCTCCGCCGACGACCTGCGGGCTCTGCAGGCGGAGCTGGCCGAGTCGGAGGCAGGTAAAGCGGGGCTGGTGGTCGAGTGTGTGGTGGCGGACCTGGGTCAGGTGGAAGGACCGGAGAGCGTCGTCAGAGCATCCAAAGCAGCCTTTTCTGAGGGTGTAGAGCACATTATCCTGGTCAACAACGCCGGTAAGGAAACCTGTAGAGATAAGAACTGTACCAGGGTCGGTGAATGGAGAAAGTCATTGCTCAACAGTACAGCTTATGTCACTGACCCGGTCAGTAAAGCTGAATTTGGCTGGAATACAAAGCAGGTATATATTGAGTACAAATACAAATCAGAGGTAGGTTACTCAACACTCTGGCGACACGAGTTGCTGTTAAGTAATCAATATATTGCGATACAAAGCCTATTTGCGATTTGTTAAGAATCTATTTTTGTGTCATTGTATAAGGAATACACCACCATTCTCCAAAACACTGTATCAAAGTTTGTTAAAACAGCTAGATAGTAGTGTTGTTAACACTACTTTACAAACACCTGAATATAAAATGAGGGCTATGACATGGGATGTTACAAGGCTTTGCTTACTGTATAACAAAATATCACAATATATTGAATCGTAACCCTTGTATCGTGATATGTATCGTGTTGCCAATACACAGCTCTACTACGTAGCAGTTGGGAGTATGAACACAAAAATCCTTACAGTGTTTTTCGGTGCCCTAAGCAGGATTTGAGTGAAACCTTCTTGAGAATATTTGCATAACATTAGTTGATGGAAATTCTCTATGAATGAGGATGGACACAGTAAGTAACACCTCCTTCCCTCTCATCCCAGCCTCTCTCGGTGACGTGTCCCGCTACACCAAATGTTTCACCGACATGACCGAGGTGGACTCTTACTTGTCTCTCAATGTCAGCTCCTCCCTGTGCCTCACCGCCGGCATCCTGCAGGCCTTCCCGCAGCGTCCAGGTCTGCAGCGGACTGTGATCAACATCACCTCGCTGTGCGCCCTGCAGCCTTTCCCCTCCTGGGTGCTGTACTGCACCGGCAAGGCAGCCAGAGAGATGATGTTCAAGGTGCTGGCTGAAGAGGAGCCAGACCTGAGGGTGCTCAACTACTCTCCAGGTGAGGAAGTTCATATGATGATTTATTTGATAATGTCTTATTTTTGTTTTATTGATTCAATATTGACCTCTTTGAGTCTCTCTATATGGGAACTTTTCAGTATTTTCCATCAGAAAGTTCAAAATATAATGTTAAATTTATTAGAATTCACTAAAGCAGAACAATAAGCAGTAATAGAAACACTGCAGGCAGACAGATGTGTTTGGTCTCTGCATTCCAACCCTCATTTCCTTGTGTTCTTTAACCCTTTAATTCTATTCATTTCTGTCCTCTGCATTGAACCAGGGCCTCTGGACACAGCCATGCAGGAGGCGGCCAGATCCAGAACAGCTGATCCCAGCATCAGGAAGTCTTTTTCAGACATGTTCTCTCAGGGCCAGCTGCTCACCTGTGAGGCGTCCTGCACCAAGCTGATGAAGCTGCTGCTGGAAGACACGTACACATCAGGAGCTCACGTCGACATCTATGACCTCTAGACACAGCACGAGTACTCGCAGCCAGATTATTTATAAATGTGCCTTGATTTTAAATGGAACTCTATTAATTTATACATCTTAATGACTGCAGTTGTAAGTGAAGTTGAGTCTGCAGTCAGTCTATAGGTTGTAGCCCTCTGTTGTTAAATAGACCAATATAATAATATTTTTGATATTGCCGTTAGAAGTTGCTAAAGTCTGAAACTATCAAGTCATATAGGCTTTAAAGTGTGAAGAACACACTTTAAAAAAAGCGTGGTAGGTAACAAGATGGCTGGTCTGAGCACTCCCAAGATCATAGTGATCATCTCCAGCTCACAGGACATCATCATACAGGACATGACCTGTAATTTCTGCCACTACGGTGTCTTTCACAGCAAAACAGTAACAATAAGAGGAAGTTTGACGACAAAGTAGTTATCTTCACCACCATTGCAGTCAGCTTCTCCCTACCTTTTATTGCCTTCCTCCTCTCCAAAACAAACAGACCCACTGATTAAAACTGCTAAAAACACTGAATAAAGCAGTTCCACCTTAAAAATCACTGCTTCTCCCACACTGTTGGACAGACAGAGGACGTCCCGGAGGGGCTGTGAGCCGAGCTGCTGCTAACATTAGCTCAGATTGTTTCTCTGATAACTTTAGATCCAGACGTCTGATGACTAAAATCCTTCATCCAGTTTAAATCTAGGGTTAGGGGGCATTTCTGCCTTTATTAGATAGTGATAGAGATACAGGCAGGAGATGCAGGGAGAGAAAAAGGAGTATGTCATGCAACAGAGATTCCCAGCTGGAATCACATAATTACAGGTTGTGCGTCTTCAGCGCTAGGCCTTCATGATGAATAAAAGCTTTTATAAGAAACCAAAACTATAATGTTGTTTAAAAAAAATGCTAATGGACTGCAAAGAAACTACAATAATATGTTGTAAACCAAAGACCAAAATGAGAAATGAAGACCGTACACAATATGCCAAAACCTAAATAAACAAACAAATTATGAACAAAAAACATGAAGAGTTAGTTAAGCCAGGTCTCTTCCCATTTACATTAAGTGGCACCAGATGAGTTGGTGGGTGGGGTTTAGGGAATGTTGAGTGTCAATCATTTGATAATTAGCCTATAGCACTGATTAAGACAACTTCATTTCAAAACAGGACCAAAATCCAACATCATGGATGAATTTCACTGTGCTGCTTTTTATGTTACAGGACCTGATCTGTGAAACTGTCCTCAGGTCAGAGGGAAACTGTGGCTGTATCTGTGCTGTTATTCTGTGGTTGATTTCAATCATATCCAGCCCCCCCTCTGTGCTATTGAGGGCTTGTCTTGTCAAAAATGGGTGGTTATTTTATCAGTTGATATTGAGACTGATGTTCTTGTTGTGCTGTGACCCCAATCTGTGTCCTACATTTCAGTGAAGTCTGGAGGTTGTAGTTTTTAGGTGCCTTACTTTGGATGTAAACTATGTTAACGAGATTCTGTATTTTCTGAATAGTTAGATTAGTGGTTAATGCCGCTGAGCCCATGTGAGAGAAAATGTTTTACTCTTTATGTCCCACTCAAATATTTTTCACACATTCCTCAATGTGTCTTATATTTTTTAATATTGATAGGAAATTATTGCTTTGTACACGCTTTCCTTGTTCAAATCAGTTTTGTAAACTTGTAACTGTATATTACAGAAATGTAATACTGAGGTTGTTCTGTATTTGTTATTTTTTGTCTTATTATGCATGCCATTGAAACCTACTGTAACAGACAGTTTATTTACCTTTATTTAACCAGACGTCAGTTGAGAACCAATTCTCATTTACAGTGACAACCTAGCCAAGAGACGATCTTACAGACACAAATATCACAGCATATAAAAATGATATAAAGATACCACTTTATAGCAACTTACAGTTCCAAACAATTTATAAAATGTTTCCAATTATTTCTTCAATGTGAACAATCATTTAAAACTTACAAGTCAGCAGTAATCCATAATGAAGTATAAATTAAAAAATGGCCTGTGTGCACACTCAGAATTATACACTGTACTTCATCGTGCCGTGACGGAGCTTAAAATGTAACGTTTGTCTTGAGGGTGGTCATCAAAATGGTAAAGGTTTACCCTGTGGGGACCATGATTGTCCTCACATAAAAGACATAGCCTTCTCATTTTAGCCACTTTGACCCTAATCCCACGCTGTTCACTTCTGCTGGCCACAGTGCTTTAGTTTAGTGGTTAGCTATGACTTTTCTCCCCCTCTTCTGCGCTCTGTTCCTCGGTGCCAAATGTTTAGCTATTCCCCTGCCTCCTTTAGGGATGGTACATGTAATAAATGTAGTTTATTTCCTGTGCTGGATGTGAGGCTTGTATTTGTGTAACAGCTTTTTCCCCCACATTTGTAACTGCTTTTTTTTCCACAACCGATCATCAAAATGGAATTGTTATTTTTTTGCTAATCCATTATATAATCGAATTTAGAATATTTGTTGACAGCCCTAATGTACAAGAACCAGTCTGATGCCGGTTGAAATCATCAAAAAGTTATTAAAATACTAGGATTCATCCTCTGGGAAACATGAATATACATGATAAATTGACCGATGTGAGCGGGGTGGCTCAGTGGTTAGCACTGTCACTTCACAGCAAAACGGGATCGAAGCCTGTGGGGGCCCTAGGTCAAGGGCAATGGCTTAGAACTGGAGGTCCCTGAGCACTACACAGTGGCTGCCCACTACTACAGTACTTGGAATAGTTTAAATGCAGAGAATTTCCCTACAGTGATCAATAAAGGATAACTTAAAGGTCCAGTGTGTAGGATTTAGTGATATCTAGCGGTGAAGTTTCAGAAGTGTGAGGGAGAAACTACGGTGGCCAACCTGCAACTTTAATGTTTTGGTTAACTTTCTCTGCTCTCATCAACCTCGTTTCCAGCAGGCAGCAAAGTTTTAGCAAAACAGCTCTGATATACCCACTGCTGATTATATGTCAATGTTTTGTTTACATATTGTTCTGCCGCCCCCAAGTGACCAAAATAAGTAATTAAGTTTAAAGGTGCTGGAAGTGAAAATCAGCAGACTCCCTCCTTCCCACGTCACCACACTGAAATTCTGCTGCCTGCCCTTAAGGACCTCCTCTTTGTGGAGTTCTCTCTCCTGATTGGATAAAGTGTAACTGTATTCCGTACAGGAGGGACTGGGAGATCCATGTTATTTACTGAACACTCTGTATCAGTGATAGTTATAGATATAGAGCTAGTTAACACTTATTTTAACAAAATAAATATCACTTACAGCTCCTTTAAAGACCACTTTAAAGGCTTACAGGCTGGGTGGAAGGGTCTGGGACCGCCCCCACTGTACTGTATTTAAGTATTTAAAAAACAGATACAGCAGAGGGGCTGCCATTGAATCTGAGCGTGTCCGTTTCCTGTCATGTGCCTCTGACAGACAGCCACAGCTGCCCCAGACCAAAATACCACAGGAGGCGCCCAACCCAAAGAAGGGGACGACACCCACAGACTACCTCTACCTCCGCTGCCTCCCCCTGCTCTCCCCCAGGTCCTCTCATTTCCCACTGCCCACTCCCCTGCCCACTCTGGGGAGGTGGTACCACCCCTAGAGGGGGCGAATTTATTTTTGGATGTAGCAGGGGTCGGGCTAGGGAGAGAGGGGGCAAGTGCCCCTGAATGTTAGTGAGAATTTGATGAGAACTCTCCGCTCCCTGCCGCTTGTTTAGTCCCTTATCCCTCGGCCTGTCCCACCCTCAGCCAATTTCTCCTTCCTCTGCTCGCTCTGTGTTTTGTTTGGCCAGTACAATGACTGTGGGGAACATGGAGAGCGCTGAGCTGTTTGATGCAGGGAAGAAAGGTCGAGGCCTGAGGGCCACCAAGGAGCTCAACGCTGGGGAAGTGGTCTTCGCAGAGCCCAGCTTCTCCGCCGTGGTCTTTGACAGGTACGAGCCTCCTAGTTGTGTTTTTTTGATACTTTCAGGGGAGGACTGATTCATTCTCTCTGAGCATGTGTTGGCAGATCTGGAGGACACACTGCAGGTGTGTTGTGGACAGTGGGTCAGGCTTCATGACCTCATTTCTAGACGCCCAATTTCTCATGACACCAGCAATGAGAAAGCTGGCAGAGAGTCATGTGAACTTGAGCATGACGTGCTTATGGATTCAGTTTTCAAGAGCAAGCAGCAAACAGATTATGACACCCTGCAAGCTTTCAAATTAATGTCATGAATAAAAATGATTAAAACATTAGTCTCAGAGATTCCAGTGAGCTCACATGGGGTCTGAACCAGAGGGTTGGAACTCTCAGCAGGAGTGTGGATAGAGAAAAGACATCTTGAATTTCCCTTGGGATAATCTATCTATCTTTTCCTTTCTGATGATGCAATCATTTAAATCTTAACTCTTGAGTGTAGCTACATATAATGCATGTAAAATTATTATCAGGTCGAATGTGACACATTATATTTAACGTAGAAAAAAAACCAGTAAACATAGAGCACTGAAACTGGACTAGTTTTTTCCTGGTCTCAGTGAGGACTATCTCTCATGTGTGATGTCTCTCCCAGATTTCTGTCTTACGGGCTTCTATGTGAGAGCAGGTAGCTGCAGTTTGTGCACTCTGCAACATACCCAGTGCACCGGCCTTTTCTGTAAATAGCGGTGTGGGTATTAGTGCCGCCTGGTTTGTCTATGTGCTGGAATGCCGGACACAGATCTGGTAGCGTAGTGTTTGAGCCATATAAGAGCTAGTAGCTGCAGGATGTTGGCTCACTGAGGGTGTCCAACCCGGCAGGCCCGCACTGAGAGGATCTGCCTAATGTAAGACAGGAGCCGTCCAAAAGTACAGTGAGAAAGGAGCTGCTAGTGACTGTGTGTGCATGGGGCTCTGCTGCGTTCCAACAATCATCAAAAGCATTAACACGTCTGTTCACTGTCCTGCTGGACAGGCAGAGGAGACTCTGCTGGATAAACTGTTTACACACACACACACAGACACAGGCTGCTGTCAGCTGAGACCTGTGTGTTCTCTCACAGAGCGAGCTTCTGTCGGCATCCAAACAGCTTCAAAATGACCAAAAGAAAAGATTTTGTTTTGTGACATAGTGGTGTGTTCTTTATACTATATGACGATGATGTGTAATATATCACAGTATACTAAATCGTAACCCCTGTATCGTATAGCCTTACTATCGTGAATATCTATTTTGTTTTGTGATATTGTATTGATTCTCAAAAACACTACATTGATTTTTGCTAGATAGCAGTGTTGTAAATGTAAACTGAGGGCTATGATACTGGATGTTATAAGGACTATGATAAATACAAATGCAGACCCCACTGTTCCTAATGCATAAAAAGTAAACCTTTTTTAAACTCAAACTCAAACTCAAATTTTATTTAACTAAACTTCTATATTGCCTTGCTTACAGTATCCAAATATATCATGATATACTGAATCATGTAACCCCTGTATCATGATACATATTGTATCGCCAGATTCTTGACAATACACAGTCCTAAAATGAGGACAGGAAAGTATAATCATGTTTATAGATTACTCTTTTTACTATTTTGAAAACACTGATAGAGCTGTGATATTTTATTTATAATATTTATGTGCAATGTATGTACATCTGTCTTATTCATCCAAACTGTATATTTAACAATATAAGTTATATTGAATAGTATATAGTATGCATATGAAATACCTTTCAAATCTTCAGACCTTAAACAAATGAATAAATTCAAATCAAATTAAATAATCTTTAGTTTTTAAATAGCCAGTGTGTGGGATTTAGTGACATCTAGCAGTGTATTTACTGATCACAGCACCCTCGCTTCACTTATCCCCTTTCAAGTGTCTCTCTAGTGCCAGTTTTTGGTTTGTCCGTTCATGGCGGGTCAACATGGCGGACTCCACAGAGACCTGCATTGTCTGTAGATATAAACGGCTCATTCTAAGGTAACAAAAACACAACAGTTCCTATACACTAATAAAAACATACCTATTTTACATACTTATTATACTTATTATTATATTCCATTTCTGACAAAAGATCCTCCTAAATGTTAATCTGATCAGAAACTGATGAGAAAGATGAACACTGGAACAAACATCAGCATGATAAGAACTTCCTAAAATGCCAGAAACCATCTTTGGGAAAAATGTATTTGACGCAAACTTTATTTGTTAGTTTGATCAATCTTCTAACATGGAGGCAGCGGGCTTTTTGACCTATACTGCAGTCAGCCACCAGGGGGCGATCAAGATGTTCTCATTGTTTTGAGCTGTCATGTGGTCCATCTTTTTATATGTTGATGGAATGGAAATACCATGATATACAGAATCAAAACAAAAAACTCAGAATTTTACACATCTATATATCATCAACAAACTCTAGTTTCACAGCTTTCTTTCTAGTCCTTTACAAGTCCAAAAAGGACTGAGTGATCTCTCAGACAAAATTTAGCTGTCTGCTTGGAATCTTGTTGCAGACCTCGGTTGTGTTGAGCAAGTCAGAAATGTTGTTCATCCAGCTAAAGATCATCGAAACTTTAATTAGGTCCTTTTTAGGTTTTGCTAATCTGCAAAAAGTGGTAAATGCTTTTATTGACTCTCAGCTTGATTACTCCATCGCACACTATCAGCCAGGGCTCCCTCCACCCTATCTCAGTGGTGTCGGTAAGATGCA